TGTGAATTTAGCTCCAGGTTAGGGTGTTAAAATTCTTTTTTTGTACTCCTAACAGTTTTTACTTCTGTGTAATATATTGTGCTTCTTTAATTCTGTTTTATAACAACAATAAAAACGATTTTAATGTCAGCTAACTTTGGAATCGTGGTTTCTTGTATTTGTGCCTTTAATCTGAGCATCCTCAAATATTGAAAACAATGTAGTGCTCAAGGCACTTGAAAAGAGGAGGAGAATATGCTTTCTGTCAGGCTCCCTTTTGTATCTCATGGGGACCCTTAACAGGAGCAGTTTAGTTGTTTGGGTAGGATAAGGAGAAATTATTGGGCAGTCATTAAAGAAGCCAAGCCTTGAACTATATAGGGCTTCATAAGTACCATACATCCCTTTGAATTACACTCAGAACCCTACAGAACCTATTATTTACAAGAGCCTGGTGGCACAGTGGACTAAATGCTGTTAAAGTAGCACTTAGTTGCCAGCTGCCTGAAATTATTGCAAGTTCAAATCTCACCAGGCTCAAGGTTGACTCAGCCTTCCATCCTTTCGAGGTAGGTAAAATGAGGACCCGGATTGTGGGGACAATAAGCTGACTTTGTATAAAAAAGAACACCGCTTGGGGGGGGGGGGCGAAAGCCCTACTAAGCAGGTATATACAAAAGTATGAAGGCTATTGCTTAATGCATTGTAAGCCGCCCTGAGTCTCTGGAGAAGGGCGGCATATAAATAAACAATACAGGTAAGTGGTACTGCTTCTGTAGTAGAGATGTAATTAGGCAGTATCACAATGGATCATTAAGGCTGCTGCATTCTATACCACCTGAATGTTCCAGGTGGTCTTCAAGGCAAGTGCCATATAGACTAAACTACCGTGGTCTAACATAGTGATGTCAAGGTGACGAGTACCACTGTCAGTATGCCACGTTCCAGCCCTCCTGGCTGCTGTCTCCATCCACAGTTCAAGCAGGAGCTATGAGTCCAAGTGGACGTGTCTTCTTTCTATTCTAGGAAGACAAGTATGGTCCCCCAATCAAATCCTATCACAGGTCATTTATTAGAGCAAACAATTTCTGATACCCAGTGGTTAAAGCATCAGGTTAGAAACCAGGAGATTATGAGTTCTATCCTTGCCTTAGGTGCAAAGCCAGCTGGCTGGGTAGTCTTGGACCAGTCACTTTCTCTCAGGCCTTAGGAGGAGGCAATGACAAACCACTTCTGAAAAATCTTGCCAAGTAAAACTGCAGGGACATGTCAAGGCACTCTCTGAAAGTCAGACATGATTGAAAAGAGGAAAATAAATATAAGTGGATTGTGTAGGAAAGTGAATTGTATTGTGAGGATTTTTTTAATGCAGCGGCTCCTTGAGACCTGAAATTATTTCAAGAATTAGGGTTATTTGCAGGATAAAAGATTGAGAAAAGCTAATCTGTATCCTCCAGAATCCTCTCCACCAACAACCACATTACTTCCTCAATAACTTTTCCCTGGAAGGGATGGTTAGAGATAGGCTGGCACTTGTCAAATTTTATGGCTCTAGACTACGCCTTGGATGAACCAGTGTTTCTGATTACCTAAATTTGCATGCAGCAATTTATTGTTGCATGCCTAGTACTAGGAGAATTTTCCCTTACCTGTTGAAATTTAGATGGGTTGGGACTACAGTTCCTTGATTTTCTGAGTATAATGATTCAGTGGTGAATGGGGAGACCCTTCTGAAGCAGAGGTCCCCCAACCTTTCTGGCTCCACGAATCGACAGCAGTGGCAGCGAGGGTGGGGGGGAGTAGATGGTTTCACACATACAACCTTGATCCTGCACATGTGCAAATGAAACTTTGCCCGCTTGCCCGGTGCTTGTGTGGCACAGTTCCCAAGCCACAGACAATTACCAGTCCACGGCTCAGAAGTTGGGGATCCTGTTGTTAAAATTATCCTGAACATGATACACATTTTTAAGCACCCAGAAACAGAAATGGGCTGACTTTCCACATAGTCTGAACAAATGGAAAATTCAAATAGAACAGTACGTCTAATTCATTAAAGGGAAACCTAGAACTCTTTCAGCAATTGTGTGTTCCTTTCCTTTGCATAATTTTGAGAAAAGCATATCAGACGTAGTGCTTATTAAATTTTAAATATAACATTTTGTTCACTATTGTTTCTCATCCACAAACTTATTTTAGTACTATTTCAGATACAATTAACTTGCAAGAAAAACAGGATAATTTATAAACTAGTTCTTGGAAGACAGCATCAAAGTTTTCAATTTATTCAGTATTAAGCAGCTGCTTAGCAATATTACTGCTTCCTTTTTAAAAAGAAGTTATTCTAAATGTTTACTCAATTAATTAGCCAGTAGAGAATGCTGTTGCAGAATTATTTCTAGCAGTGTCTGTTTATGGCTTCTAATCTATGCATGTTGCATAATAAAATTCTGATTAGGATCTGATGTTTATATTGATGCAAAAAACAGTTTCCTCCTTTTGTGAAATGGGCCCTAGTTATCTTTCTTGATGGAAATGTGGAACCCCAGTTTGGCCAGTTATTTTCCACTTTATCTTGTTCAAAGGCATACTGCCAGTGAGGCTTAGCCCAATGAGCATTTATTTTTGAGTACAGTAGAACTACTGCGGTTTCTAGGCATGTTTCTGGGATGCCTGAATGAAAGCGCACAGGCTTCCTGTTTCTAACATGGCTTCATAATAAAGCTCCCTCAGAGTCCTAAACTTGCAGGTGTAAAAAAAAATCAATAAAATATAACTAGTTCTCTTTTTATGCAAAAAGGTCATGCAGGGATAAACCACCAGTCATTTATTCTGTTTCATTTATCTCCTGCCAGCTTCTCCCCAAACAATTTTGTGAAAGAAGAGAAGCTAGGAGCCTTTTTTAGTTTCTCTCAGACTATGCTGGTTCTCTGCCCTAATGATTTCTTCCAAAAACCAGTTTGCCAAACTGCTCAGAAAGTTAACAACCGGTTCTCCCGAAGTGATGCGAACTGGCTGAATCCCACCACTGATCACATCCATCAAAGATTTAAAAATCAAAGTAAGAAGCTGTTTCAAAACCATGAAATTGGAGGTTCTGCAACACTAGGGCAATTTCCAAAGCACTTCAGAGGTAGAGATAGGCATTTTGTGTCAGAGGAAGAAAATATAGCGCGATAGTTGGTGCCTGCAGACTCAGGAGGTTTAGAAGGAATTTCCTTATTTTGATTTGTCTCCTGTGCCAACCTACTAGTAGTTTGAGGCAAAAATAATCATGGACTGTTAGTCCTTTAATTTCATCTTATTTCCCATCATCATCCATCAGGTGATTTTCAACAATCAGCTTGGATATTTTTTTCTCTCACTTTTGAGGAATGGATTTTAGAAATAGTACATTGTAGGTCATGTAGTTGAATTTTTTATTATAATCACATGCTTTTTAAAATTATCTCTTAAGTCACACTCCTCCTATATGGTAGGGAAACTGCTCCCTGATTATTCCAGCAATTAACAATGAACTAAGTTTTAATATGGCAGAAAAAATTTAGCTGTATTTAGTTAAAAGAAGGGATTCATACGATCCCACATTAAGGCTAAGCAGGAGTCCCAAAATCAGAGATGGAAAGCAGCATTTGGACCACTGAATCCAAATTCCTGTTTACTACAAGAATCCAAATTAAAGGCTCCTAGACAAATGGCTCTCTAGCCTCACTTAAACATTTTCAGCAATGGTGAATTGCTTCCACTGTTAAGGAATAGGGTGGAATAATGTGGAATGGGGAGGAATAGTGTGGAATAAAGTGGAATATGATCATACTTAGAAAAGTTATTTTCCCGTTTTAGCAACAGTACTTAGACTTATATACTGCTTCATAGTGCTTTACAGCCCTCTCTAAGCAGTTTAGAGTTAGCATATTGCCCCCAACAATCTGGGTCCTCATTTTACCCACCTCGGAAGGATGGAAGGCTGAGTCAACCTTGAGCCAGTGAGACGAACTGCTGAACTGCAGCTAGCAGTCAGCTGAAGTAGCCTGCAGTACTGCACTCTAACTACTGTGCCACCTCGACTCTAGGCTCTTTTAATTGCTTCCTGGAATTTAAATCTATTATTCCATGACCTATCCTCTGGAACAAGAAAGACGAAGTGTTTGAGATTGCCATCCAATCTTTCCTTGGTCCAGCAAACCGCAAAGGGACACATGAGTGATGACGGAATTACATCATGCAAGTGTTGTCATTTGTCCATCTTCCATTCCCTGCAGATGTCAGGCTTCACGTGACTTTTCTGAAGGCAAAATATGCCCGGTTTGTTCCATTTCTTTTCATAGGAGTTCAGAGTTGTTCTAGGGGGGCATGAAATTATAGAAAATTAAATTACAAGAAAATTGATTTCAGGCGGACTTCAGGAAACATTTCTGAATGGCTAAGAGCTATTCAACAATGGAACAGAATGGCTGATTGTGAACTCCTTTATTGGATATGGTCATTTTTCAGGGAAGCTATAGTAGCAGATGTCTGCATTGGGCAGGTTGAGACGGAGGCGAGGTACTCTAAGGTCACTTCCTGTTCTTATCTTCTATGATTCCATGATAGTTGTGACTTTCTTGCTAGCAGTATGGCCTACTTGGCCACTGATTTGTCCAACGACGGACATCTTGTGTAGATGATATTTAAGAGTAGAATATTTACCAGAACCACAATAACTTAAGTTGTATATGTAAGAAATCCTGAATAAGCATGCTTGCTTTACAAATTTAAAACTAATTGGTAGGCTATATGCAGTCTAATAAAACAAAAATGCAACATCACACAATGACCAACTACCTTTTTCCTTTTATGGTTTTACAGCTTTGCAAAGGAGACTACTCCAGGCAGGATAAAAACATTTTCTAGATTTCAAGGCTTCGATTATCTATTTCAAGGCTCTATTATTTTCTATTTACCCTCAAAAACACATTAATAATTTAAATTCAGATAAAAGCTTATAACGCCCTTCTAGTACAAAAGAGACATAGCTGATGTAACGTAGAAACCTGATTTACTTTGTTGCAAACAAATGGACAATAAATATATATATTGTACAATATATAATAAAAATACAGCATAGTACGAATGCCACTAAGAAAAAAAAATAACCTAATTTTAAGACTTATAAATGCTTATTTTTAATATATACATTGCAGAATAAGCCACATTAAATACATCAAATTACAGATCATTCATCATAAATACCGAAAATATAAATACAGAAGGAATACAGCATAAAATAAAGTTTGTAGCATAAGGTATAGTTTAGGGTTTTTGCCACCTACACTAACCCTTTTGTATCAGTGAAGTTGCAAATGATAATGCAAATTAAATCAGCCTGTGGAAGTTACACTATAACGTCAATTATAGCTTGTATGTATGTTTTGGGTTTGTTCATGTTCTAGTGTCATGCTATAAATGTCTTTGGGAGGGGGAGGAATTTTGGACTGTATAACTCTGTTAGAACCTTTGGCAAGTGAAGTGAAGCTCTGAAAAGGTGACCTAGGAATACCACAATTATTCTGATCTGCTGTGAAATTTATTAACTGAAAACTACTAACTTTATTTTTAATTTTCAAGTAAGTTGCACCCCTGTCTTAAAACTTCAATTCTTTCTCTTTCCTGAAAACAAAACAAAACAAAGTTCTACAGGTAGTCCTCATTTAGCAACTACAATTGGGACCCGCAATTTGGTTATGAAACAAAGCAGTCATTCAATGGAACCACAACTGACTTATGATCTTACTTCAGCTTTCCTTTGCTTTACAGACCTTAAATGTGAGGCCTGGTCACAAAATTATCTTTTTTATCACCAACAATTGCTAAACAAGGCACTCGCTAAATGAGGACTACCTTTGTTAGAGCCACAGTATTATTGGACCTACTACTGTCCTCCTTTGTACTGAAAGCATTTCAAAAGAGATGAATTTTATATATGTGCCATACATCTGAATTAAAAAGGACCTAAAGCAAATAATCCATATCATAGGTTGCCAATAATAGATCAAGTTATTTTTATTACCAATATGATTTAGATGAACATTTTCCTTAGCTAATGTATATACGGGTAGTCCTTACTCACCACCATTCATTTAGTGATCGTTTGAAGTTACAATGGCACTGAAACAAGTTATTTATGACCGTTTTTACATATTTAAGATGATTGCAGCATCTCCATGTCACATGATCAGAATTTGAATGCTTGGCAGTTGGTTCATATTTATGATAGTTGCCGTATCCCAGGATCATGTGATCATTGCAACCTTTGATAAGCAAAGACAAGGGGGAAAGCAGAGTCACTTAACAACTGTGTTACTAACTTAACAACTGCAGCAATTCACTTAACTGTGGCAAGAAAAGTCATAAAATGGGGTAAGGCCAGAGGTAGGCTGCTGCTGGTTCAGACCGGTTTGGGCAAACCGGTAGTTGCAACCTGCAGGTGGGCCCACCCCGCCCACCCCGGTGCTATCCTGTCTCATATCGCCGTGTTTTTGAAGCCGCGCACATGCACAGAAGGCCACACACATTCATATTTTCAGTGCTGGGCAAACCAGTTGTTACAACCGGCAGCAACCCACCACTGGGTAAGGCTCATTTAATTGTCTCAGCAACAGAAATGTTGGGCTCATTTGTGGTCGCAAGTTGAGAACTACTTGTAGAGTGATTCAGCATCAACTGTCATTCTTGCAAAGTACCTAGTTAAATATGTGAGTTAGAAGCACCCATTCTCCTAAGAATGCCTTCATTTTTAACAGCCATCAATGCCAAAAAAACAAAAAAAAAAAAAAAAAAAAAAAAACAAATTGTAGAAGAGGAGCAAGTTGACTTCACAATAGTGAACTCTGGCTCTTGAACGAAACTTTAATTTAAAAAAAAATACAGCCATCAATTATTATAAAAATTCTTGCAAAGAATGTAAAACACTTCACTTGCATTTTTGCAAGCTGCATGGCATATATGTGGCTGTAGAGGCATGTGTGATTTAAGCAGCTGAATTAAGATGTAGCTGAAATTATTCTGCACAGGTAAATTAATGTGGCAGTCCTGGGAAATAGGGAGTCTGAAATAATAAAAGATTTAAATTGAAGTTCCTATGTTACTGTGACTTGTGGCTTTGAACAAGCGAAGTTTGTGTTGCCTAGGAACTTGCCTTTAGAGAAAAAGCTGAAAACACTTGATTAAACCTACGTGCGGAGAATGCTGGATTTGCAGGGAGGAAAAATGTTTTTTTTTTTCAGAAAGAACTGCAAAAAAACAAACAAATAGAATGTTCAGTTTTAACCTCTTAAATTAAATCCGCTAACCTTCTTTTCCAATCCTATGGTTTTCTTTGCCTGCTCAGAGCCAGGTAAATAGCTTTCACTGCAGAAAATGAAACATGGAAGGAAGAGGATTCAACTGGATGTGTTTCTTGTTGCTGATCTACCTGCATGTCCCCATTTGAGGCACAAAGGTTGTTGAAGATAATGATCATAGTAGCTTACAAGAAATGAGGCTGACATTGTATTCTTCTGGCAAGGCTAACACAGAATTTTAAAAACTATATAGTGCCAAAATAACCTCCAGGAGGAACATGAAGATATATTCTTATCAAGGAAACTTACGGACAAGCATGGTGAACTAGCCATCCCTGAGAGCAGAGGCAACCATGGAAAAGACTGAAAAACTGATGAATACACTGGTTCTACAGAACTTCTCCAGATAAGGAGAGGAGGGGAGATTACCAGTGGTGGGTTGCCCCCGGTTCTGATTGGTTCGCAAGAACCGGTAGTAAAACCGGTGGGAGGCTCCGCCCACCACCCCGGATGTTGTCATAGGCGATCTGCGCATGCGCAGAAGCTTTGTGCATGAGCAAAGCACGCACGTCTGCGCAATCCCATTGCGAACCGGTAGTAAAGGTAAGTAGAACCCACCCCTGGAGATTACCCACATGTGCTCCGGATGGCTGCTTCTCATGAGGAGACTACAGGACAGTTGTCTTCTATGGATTTGAGTGCCAGGAAAGGAAGGGAACAGCCATCATTCTCACAACTGGCAGAGCCTTTTAAAAGATACTGGGTTCACTAAACTTTTGGAAATTGCCTTATTACCTTAAGGCTATTAGAGCTTCAGAACAACAAGCCTGAAAAGCCACCTGGTGAGTTTAACTTCATTCCTGAACAAACAAACAAAAAATTAACTACAAGCTTAAGAATTTGAAGAGCTAGAAATATAAATGGCAAAAAGCTAAACAGGATTTTGACCCAAGAAAGTTATGAGTTAAGGATCCAGATGAATTTAGAATATTAAAACTTTTACTAAAAGTTTTAGAAATAAACAGACTTTCATAGGAAGAAAATGTTTTGGCTATCCTAAGTCATACGAAGTTTTGAGATGATTTTATGATGTCAAAAATAGGACATCTGAGGGGACTACAGATCCTAGGCAGAAAAGCAAAAGAGGGGGGAGGGCAATCTTCCATTTTGTTTTTGGTTAGCAAAGGGAATTACAAAATGACATAAAACATTGGTTAACCCTCCATGAGACTTTTGAACAATGGGGTCAGAAATTAGCAACTATAATAACAGCAATGATATCTGATTCGATGACTATACTATGTCCAAAAGATATTAATGAAGAAATGATGGATGGGAACAAATTTTCCCTGATGTAGAAATATCAGAACAAGAAATGTTAGATAATTGTAGAAATGTAGATTATAAAACAGGAAAGGTAGCTAAAGCAGAAACACAAAAGATGAGCCAAGAAAATGATCCAGATAAGGAGCTTTTACTGGATATATGAAAGAACCATATTAAAGCTTTGAAAATTAAAGTAGAAATACAGAAAGAAAGCAAGAGAACAATCTTGATAATGGTTTTTTATTGGATTTACAAAATGTTTATTAAAGTCTTCAAGAAATCTTTTGGATGGAGAAAAATGGAATGAAATCAAATTCTATGTCAACATCTGAATGAATTAAAAATGAAGATTGTTAGAAGCAAAAGGAAGGAATATAAAGTTGGCTTGTTTGAGCAAGGTTAAAATGAGACATTTTTATAAAGCTCTGCTAACCCTTTACAGACTTTTTGCTGACACTAAATGAAAAATTGATGAGTTACCTTGTACTTTTTATTCTATCTCTCACTCTGTGAGTTTAGTTTCTATTTGCTTTCACTATTGTAATTAAAATTTTCCATACATTTTATTTTATTCTATTTTATTTTATTCAATTATTATCTGATACCAGCCTTGTGCTATATATAAAAAGAAAACAAAAAACAGGCTCTCTTAAATCATGCTTGACTCTTAGTAAATACATGGGCACCTCCAGCCATTTACTTGACAACAAATTGAAAATCTTTTGCTGCTTTCTTCTTCATTTGTCTTATTTCCACAGATGGAAATGTAACTTTGGGACTGCTTAGAAAGATCTTAGAAAAATGTAAGCATTCAAAGATGACTGCAGGAACAAAGGCTTTTGTCAAAAGCCCCTTACGGACACATCTGTATTTGGCACCTTGCACCTTTCTGCTTGATATTTATTTATATTTTAACCCTGGTGGCATAGTGGTTAGACTGAAATACTGCAGGTCAACTCTGCCCTGTGCCAGGAGTTCAATCCTGATCAGCTCAAGGTTGACTCAGCCTTCCATCCTTTCGAGGTCGGTAAAATGAAGACACACATTGTTGGGGGCGATATGCTGACTCAAGAGTGCGCTGTGAAGCACTATGGAATGGCATATAAGTCTAAGTGCTATTGCTACATTCCGCCTTTATTATTTTTACAAATAACTCAAGGCAGTGCACCTTCTTCCTCTTATTTTCACAAAACCCTTCGAGGTGGTTTGGGCTGAGAGAAAGTGACTAGGTTAAGGTCACCTATTTGGATTTCATGCCTAAGGCAGAACTTGGAACTCATAGTCTCCCACTTTCTAGCCTGGGGCCTTAACCACTAGACCAAACTGGCTCTATATTACATTATAACCTCAAGGGCAACCTTCCTCAATCTAGTACTCTCTAGACTGAGTAGATCACTTATTTTTTCCCACAGAGTGCAGTCCAATCTGAAAAATGGGAACTTTTTTTAGGCTGGAAGTTTAAGAGTATATGGCAAGCAACTCACAAAAGTAGCTGCCATGGGTGGGCCTGTCTAGACACATGAAACCTATTTATCAAAAAGCAAAGTTTTCCAGAGAAACTCTTACATCATCCAATTGGGACACAAAAACATTTTTGTAAAAAAAAAAAAAAAAAAAAGAGGTCAGGCCCCGGTGCTTTACTTTTCACTATACAATCCGGGTATCTATGTATTTATTAATTATTTCATTGTAAGGAAAATAAAAGACAGTTCCGTAGCCTCAAAGTTACCAAGGAAAGTATTTGGGGGTACAGTGGATTTGTGTATATCAGGTTGCCTGCCTCGGGTTTAATTCTTCATACAGGTAACGGACATGTACTTTGTGAAGCTACGTTGTTTAGCTTCATGATACATGGATGTTGGCAGTAATCATGCGAGAAACCACTAGCAAAGTTTATGTATCATCAGACTTTGCCGTAGCACTGTTCAGATTACAAATAAGGTTGTAGTTTCTAGCCACATTATTTATATTCTTTACATCACATTAAGCATCTAAAGTTTCCTTCGGAAATTAACAGTGGATAAAGTCACAGTGATGAAATACAGCCAAAATGTGTTTTACCCCGTACTAAAAACAGTGGGACTTTCCAAACATGCAGAGGTTGCTTGTGTGATTCCAGATGAACTGAGTCGGTCTCAGCCACAAAGAACAATTTGTATACAGTTCCTTTTCATTTTGAGGCCTGCTGGCAGATGGATGAATGGGAGGAAAATCAAATCCATCTCCAGTTTTCACACTTAACACTTCACCCCATCTCCAGTTTTCACACTTACACTTCACCCATTTGTAAATGGGCCTGATGTGGAAGGGTCCTGGGTCCTACTGGATCAGAGTTCAGAAAATATTGATCATTTAGTATGGTAGTAAAGTCATTGTATTATATGCCTAGGTACTAAAAACAATGCCACAAAAATAGTATTTATAACTACTGTAACCAACCTCTGATGTTTTATAGATCTTATGCTTGGGGGGTAAGCAAAGTTTGTTCCAAACTGATCATTTATCCAAGTCACTCTTTTGTACCCCTAATGACTTACAAAACTATGTATTTTCTCATTTAAACAAATATAAACAATTGGTAGATGATATGGGGCATGAGAGCTGTGAACTCAGCTTTGACTCTTGTCCTGTTGAATCAACAAGACAAGATAGTATCGAATGAAGGCGAATATACACGTGTCCCAGGTTAATGTTGCAGGATCCAATCTGGGCCGGTCACCGGGATCAGAGGTTTAATCTTCTGAACTTTTGGACTTGTGCTAAAGTCCATCCCTGAAGTTCCTTGAAGATGGACTCCAGCAAAAGTCTGAAAGCTCAGAAGACAAAACCTTTGCTCCTGATGACCGGCCCAGATTGGATGCTGCAACAAGACTGTTTTTCCAATGTCCACTACAGTGAGGCTTCTCAAAATGTGGGTCATGACCTACTGAGTGGCCATCAGCAAATCAAAGAGTTACAGATTTTGCAGACTTAAACATAAAGAGGAGAGAGTCGCTACTAAAACTTGGGTCCAAAACTTTGACTGGCCTTGCCCAGTACAATGTGAAAGCATATCTGATAGGATTCTGGCACAATTTTGTAGGGATCTTACCCTGGAGATCCATCTGATGCAAAAGAAAAGAAAACACAACACAACAACATGAGGCTATATCACTGGTGGGATAGGAGAAGGCCTGAAGTACAGTCTTGTAGGGCTCCCAAACAGTCTTGCAGTGATCCAGCATTAAGTGCATGACGATGGCATGATTTTTGCTAGAATATTTCCAGCTTTTGGTGGTGGTAGGTCTGAATTGGAGAATTGATTAGAAAATAGTACATTCTAGTACCCTTTATTTTTGAATCATAATCATCTGGTTTGGGTCCCATCATGGTATCTAGGTGAGATTTAACTCATTAGGACAGGGTTTTCAGTTGTCATCCTTCTGACTTGCAAGCCTGATTCCATGAAGTAATTTACAATGACGTGAAATTAGCTGAGTACAAAGAGTGTTTCCAGCAGCAGTGATGTGTTCCAACTAGCCTCTGACAAACATCAAGTATCTTATACAAATTCTTCAGAATTATTGTCAGTATCGAGGCAACTTAGAGAGCCACTCCAAAAATTAAAGCACAATGTGCCAAACTAGTAATTTATTCCACCTTCCTCGTTCTATATGGCCAAAGAGGAAGAATACAAAAGTAAGATTCAAATAAGAACGGATTTTATGGATCAAAAGTCAGCAAAACTAGTCCTTTTGGACATCCAAGTGTCATCTGTTTGTTGCTATGCAGCCGGTGCTGACCAGGTGGCTGGTATGTTTAAAAATAATGAGAAAAGATTCGATCAAGAAAGTAAAATACAGAAGGTAGGAATCAACATTCAAGCCCAAAGATCACCTGCAGTAAGCACATGCCAGGAATATGGAATAAAGCCTAATTTTTGTAGTAAGTGAGGAAATAGAAGAGTTAAGACCCACCAAGGATTAACTTCCCCCCCCTCCCCATCGAAGTAATTTGGATGTAGCATGTTTGCTACAAGGAAAATAAAAAATCAACTGGCACGCTTGGCATTGGTGGCTGCTGCTACCAGGAACATCCCTAGAAGTGAGAAACTTCTAGAAATAAAGCTGTGGATGCTTCTGCTGAGATCAATGGTAAAGTCTGACTGAAGACTGCAGTGAGATAAAAATATATTTTGATATGGTTGGGATCTTCTTGAGCTAAGCATGCAAAGGCACTTCCTTCACAGTTTTGTTTTGTTTTTTTGAACAAAATTATCCAAAGAGGAGATGGAATGCTGTACTTGAAACCCCCATTTTCAGAAGACAAATCTAGAGTTAAAACTTCATACTTTGCCAACTTTAAAGAATGGACATGTACAAGAGGAACTAGTTTTTTCAGTTTTGAATAACTTGAAGGTAGACTTTTGTGATCCAGGTTACATTCATAAATATTGTTCTTGAAATCTAGAAAAGAATCACAAGTGGATATTTATTATTTGGATCTATTTAGGGCAACCAATTCAGAGAATATCTAACAAAATGAAATTCAATGTAGAGAAAAGTAAAGCCTTACACTTAGGCAAGAAAAACCAGCAGTACACATATAGACTGGGTGAAACCAGGCTTAATAGCAGTAACTGTGAGAGGAATCTTGGAGGTTTAGTGGACAACCAGTTAAATATGAGCCAACAGTGTGCAGCGGCAGCCAAAAAAGCCAATGCAATCCTAAACTGCATTAACAGAGGGATACAATCAAGATCAAGTGAGGTACAAATGCCACTCTATAAAGCTTTAGTAAGACCACACCTAGAATACTGCATCGTTTTGGTCACCACACTATAAAAAAGATGTTGAGACTCTAGAAAGAGTGCAGAGAAGAGCAACAAGGATGACTGGAAGCTAAAACATATGAAGAACAGTTGCAGAAACTGGGCATGGCTAGTCTAGTGAAGAGAAGCACCAGGGGAGACATGATAGCAGTGTTCCAATATTTGAGGAGCTGCCACAGAGAGGAGGGGGTCAAGCTGTTTTTCAAAGCACCTGAAGGTCAGACAAGGAATAATGGATGGAAACTGAACAAGGAGAGGTTCAACCTGGAAATAAGGAAAATTTTTCTAAGAGTTAGAGCAATCAACCAATGGAACAGCTTGCCTTCAGACGTTGTGGGAGCTTCATCACAGGAAGCTTTCAAGAAGAGACAGGACTGCCATCTGTCAGAAATTGTGTAAGGTCTCCTGCTTGGGCAGGGGGTTGGACTAGATGACCTACAAGGTCCCTTCCAACTCTGTTAATCTGTAAAGCCTAATGGGGTAGGGTGGCGGGAACACTTGAGCTCTAATAGCTCCACAGTTGCCATGCCTACAATGTTCCCTCATTTACTACAATGAAGAAACACTTGTGAATTGCATACCCTAGTGATAGAAAAGCTCTGGAAGAATACACACTTCAAACCTCAATGCTTTTGCTAAAATAAGAGAGAACAATGGCTGAAATATGTCTACTGATTCCACTCAACCTTAAATCCTTTCCTATTTAGAGATTATTGTGAGGCATATCACACTCAAATGAGAAACTCCATCCCTACAGATTCTGAGTAACCTCTCTTTTTTTTTTCAGAGCTCATGGAATTTCTCCACAAACAGCACAATGCCATTCTTTTCCTAATTACTTCATTTGGCTAAAGAAATTCAGAGTAAAGTTCTGAAAATTCTTGCATGGTTTATCCATGGATTATTTAAAAAAAAAGAAATAGATGCAACATTTGAGAACCAACAGTCTGTGGTGTCTTTAAGATTTACTCATAGCTGCTACACCAAAGTATATTCATTTAAGAACAAAAAGATACTTACACAAAAGCTGTGAACACAAAGCACACAGCCCATTAAAACTTAATTGCAAGGAAGTGCCACCAAAAGCAGTGGAATGTGACATTCCACTGAAGGAATTCCCTTCTGATATCTCTGGATCGTTTCCATTAGGGCTGTGCTTCCATGTTCCCATGTGACTCTTCACACACTATTATTGTATGCAGGGGAGAGGAAACGCTTACAGGGCTAGCGGAGAGACAGAATGCCTCTGAGCTCTAGAGCCTGAAGGAGATGAGAAGACAACCCCACGGAAAACCTATATTGAATCCCATATTGGTCACAGAGCTCCAAGATAGAGATAACCTTGGTTCAGTCATTCACTCTGGATTATTTCTTAAACTATTGTGAAGATCACTCTGAGCACTTTATACATCGGGATGATAATTTTAATAAATAAAAATATAGCATTCCGACTTTACATGAAGAAATAACCATGAAAGACTGTAGCAATGCTCTTATTTTGGAGCTCTTATTTGGTTGGACCTCAACCAATCTCATTGTACATATGTTGTGCACTGACAATAAAGATTTGAATTGAATTATTTAATAGAGGGCCCAAGCCAGCCTGTGGTAGCGCCACCATTTTCTGACAAGCAAAATTCTTCACAAATGTGAAGGTTGCCATTAAGGAAAAGTATGCTGATTCATGGAAAAATGGCCAGTGATTTTGTGTGTGGGGTGTGTGTGTGTGTGACAGCAAGATCTGAAGAAGTCTGGTTGGATATTGTCCCTATTTAATATTCTGCATTCATCTTTATGAAAACAATGGAGAGAGACAATTGAATAAAAAACACAACCCAATTTCCTTATAATGCTAACACTGCTTCTCTCGACCCTTGAAAAGCTAAGGATTGTCCTACGTTACACATTTTTAGAAATGTAGCTGCCAGTAGCTGCAATTTAGAAAAATCATATATATTGTCCTGTCCTTGAGATGGGGACAGGGCAGCAATTGCAACACAAACTCCACACCAGCGTCACCAAAATGACTAAGTGGTATGTCCTCCTACATTCCTACATTACAAATATGAATTAGTCCCTAGTGCAGATCAGAGAACAGGGTTCGTGATCAAATGTACTACCCTCACAAAGGCAATTTGCCTAATGAAATCTCATTGTGCTGTTCTGCTCCAAAGAGCAAGCGGTTCATTTTTATCAAGTTATGAGTACTAAGCTACAATAAATAAACAAATACATTACTGAATAATTCAGGTTTTTTTTTTTTGTTTGCAGTCACATTTATATTTAAAAAGTCATCACCCTCAAATAGGAGCGATATTTTAATACCCTAAATATAAAGAACCCAAAGTAACGTTTTTATTATCTTGCACAAGCCCGACAATAAAATAAAAAGTTGTAAATTAGAGAGCCCAGCATAAATCAACACGTGGGCCGTTTTCATACTATATGCATGTGGATGTGGATATATATATATATATATCCACATCCACATCTGTGTGGATTATTTTAAAATCTGGGTATTTTCTATCAAAGGACCATTCTATTTTTTATAAAAGTTTACTTTTTTACACAAACTGTTTTTGTGCAATGGCCACAACCAAGAGAGCTTTACTGATAAACAACAGTGAAAAAGAAAATCAAAACATTAACCACGGTCTTCCCCCTTACCTCCACTGCTGAGAGGAAAAAGAAAATAAGAACGCTTCCAGGGAAATCCAATTAAAATAGAATGCATTTGAAATCTAGAGCGATTCGGTCCTAAAATAAATTTAAACAGGTACTGTTTCCATGACGGGAGATTTGATACACTCTTCGTGTAGTCTGCTCTTTTCTGAAAGGCCGAGTGAATTCTCGGTGGGACGCTCTGGGAGGTGAGCGCCACCATTCAAAGTAGATACAAATCCATCTTGTGAAGGACTTTTCAAGTATGAAGGAAAATCCACTTGGGAATGCCTTGGCCGATGTTCAGCGTATAAACTGCTACATGGAACAACGTTATCGCTTTCGGACGAAGAGCAGCAAACGATGACAGACGGGTTTGAAGAGGGATACAGGGAGCTGCCGTAATTTTCCTCTGAGGGCCGCGTGTAGTCCACAAACTGTTCCGAAGTTGGGTTATAAGGCACCAGAGAAAGATTCCCGTTCTTAACAGTCTCTCTTTCAGAGTAAGTCTCCCGAATCTGGTTAGGAGTGCCAGGGCCGTGATTCTCTATTTGGTAATACAAGGATGTGGAGCTCGGGTAGTAGGAAAGTGCCTTTGGCTGGTTTTCATGCATGGCAGTGCTGTCTGAATAGCAGAGGACAGAAGGGAGGGCTTGACCTGCATCAGCATGAACACCCAAGCCTTCCAGACATTCATCTAGTTTTTCTTCTTCCTCCTCCTCCTCCTCTTCCTCCTCCTCCTCGTCGTCCTCCTCATCGTCCTCTTCCTCATCTTCTTCATCTGTTTCGCTGGGCGCTAAACTCTGTGTGCTGGAATCTGTAACTCCACTACAAAAGCTACTTGCATCTTCCTCCTCTTCCTCCTCCTCCTCTTCCTCTTCTTCCTCCCCAGCGCAATCCAAGTCATCTGCCGACTGCAAATGCATCACCGCAGCCCGGGGTTCAGTCTCTAATTCAAAGTTCTCCGGGACTGAAAATTCCAGGGGGTGGGAGGTGGGACCCATTGCACTGCTGTGAGCATTGAGCTCGGCGTGGCAGCCGTTCAGCGCAGGAACCTGCTGCTCTCTGTTTTTCTCCAATTCAAGTTTCATTATAGTGTGCAAAAAGTGAGTCCGAACCCTGATGGGATTAAATTCAATTCTGCCGGCTGTATTACTGCATCCTTCTTTAGTGCAACCACACGGGAAAGACATACGGTCCACCTTAGGGGAAAAAAATGATGGATTAGCTGTTTGGTTGGGCACCATCAAACCCTGACATGCTAGAAACTCTTAGCCACACAAGAAACTTCATCAAAGAAAATTGCCCCAGAAGCCTCGCGGAGGATTGATATATGAGATAAATTAATTACCTGCTTTTACAAAATTTCTTTCTGGCAGAAAAAAAAATCCAGATAAGAGATGTTGGAAAGGGAAATCCGTCTGGTTTTGCAAACTGCTCTAAGCCCTGGTTTGTTTTTTTTAAATGGAGCTATATTTCATACTTCATTAGAAATTATGATTTATAAATGAGAATGGCTTGCACATATCACACTGAGCCAAAAACCACATTATGGCTCCCTGTGGACGGTGAATCCAGTTACTGAAGACAAGGTGGCTGTGAGACAAATGACAGCTTGCTCTGGTTAAGCAATGACAAATGTGCCATGGGACCCCGTCCCTTTGTTCTGCTCTAGCATCACCGCCTCCCCCCGCTCCTTATTCTGCTGTTCTAATGACGGCTAACGGTTATGCCAACATTTAGGATTAATCCAAGTGACTGCTAAATTGCAGAAGTAGGTTCTTTTTTCAAATATTCAGGCTGGTGGGGCATTTCAATTAACTGTCAAAAAATTATACATTCATGAGTGGGATGAAGTTATACTCCAGAAGCTAGAGAAGTGGGAATCCCACTTGGTAATCTCCACTTTTCTCCCCTTTGATTAGTGGGGGTGGAATTTGGATACTTCACTCCAAATAGATCTTGAAGCGGTATATACAATAGCCTCACAGGAAATCTCATTATGAGTGCTTGTCTTTTTTAGCCCTCATGTAAAGGCAGGGAGGAAGCTGATTTTATTTCCATTATGATGTTTATAAGATGGACAGTCAAAGTCTCTTTAACCTTTTTTAAACCTGGAAACAAAATGGAACTCTTCTCCAGAAAGCTTATATTCCATCAGCACTTCCTGGACTGCCCATGTGATCACAGCACTTTCCAGCCATGCTGATAATCCAGGAAGCCGCACTGCTGAAATGTATGTCAGGAGAACCCTAACCCTAATGCTAACAGAAATGGGGCTTTAAACCTTTAAGTCAGGGGTGTCAAACTCAAGGCCTGGGGCCCGGATCCAGCCCACGGGGTGCTTAGATCTGGCCTGTGGGGCCATCCCAGAAACAGCAAAGGACTGGCCTGCGGTGCCTCTGCCAGCAAAAATGGAGCTCAGGGAGGCTGTGGGCCCTGAGCTCCGTTTTCGACTGAGACGGCCTCCTGCAGCCTTCTGCCAGTGAAAACGAAGTCCAAGGGGGGCCGCACATGTGGCCCTTGAGCTCCATTTTTGCTGGCAGAGGGCTGCAGGCCAGCGCGACACAAGTGATGTTGAGCTGGGCACTTCCACCCTGGGAACACCCACCCATCCCCCCAAAGTCAAACACAACCCTGATGTGGCCCTCAATAAAATCGAGTTTGACCCCCCTTCTGGCTCTCTTTGTTCCTACCAGGTCCAACTTAGACCATCTTTAGTTAACCTTCTGTAACCTGCTGCCCTTAAGTTGTATGGAACATTACTATACTTATGGGAATTCTGAGTGTTTTAGACCCAATATATCAGAAGACCATCCGGTTGAAGAAAACAGCTCTTATTAGGGAGACTGATCCAAAACCAAAACCTGGGCTATCTGTTTTATATCTTCTTTATTGTATTTTGCCATGTATAACTGCACACAGAATCCCATGTTTCTCCAGATTATGCTGAATTACTCTTTGGATCCCTCAATGTTGGCTACGCTTTCAATTGCTGGGATCTGTGTTTCAGCAATACCTGGAGGGACAAATGACTCACTTGTCTCCTTATGTTTCAACTACAGCTGAAACTTCCTGTAGCTGAGGTAATAGGGCAGTGTGTCTCTTTAGAATACCTAGATGAGTGTGAATGGGCAGGATATCCTTCCTTTTTTTGAAAACAAAACAGTTGGAACTGTCCTTTGGTGAAGAATACCTAAAGTGAAGCCCTCTCACCTGGCATTTTATGCCCGCAAGGCAGCAAGTGCAAGTTTCCGGGTCACAGAAGATTCGACAATCGCAACCACAGTCCTCTCTTGAAAGACGGATGGCTCGCAGCTCATGTTTTTCTTCCACATCAATCTTCTTGACTCCAGAGGCTCGCAGGAGCGCCCTTCGTTTCTTTGTCGGCAGAGGTTGTAGAAAGAAGTATTCATCTACTTCGGTGTTGTCCAGATCTATATCATCATCAGAAATGTCCTCCAGTGTTAAAGTGTTCGCTTCCTCGGATTCCACCGTGCCATTATTAGTCATCTGTAGTAACATTAAAAGATGCGTCACAGCTCCACTGAACAGAATGTTCAAAGGAAACCATCTACGTAGGATAAGCTTTTGTTATGCAAGAGTGTGGAATTGATTTATGAGGACCACACCGTCTTTAAATATCTCTTTGTTTTCATGGCTCTTATTATTAATTGAACAATTAAAGATGTTTTGAAGCATTTATAAATAGCTTATACCATAGACCAAGCTTGGATAACCAAAATAAATCCTCAGTGCAACAATTCTGTTTAGCAGATCCCAGATGCAATGAATAACATCTGTCTGTGGACTGTATGCTCCTGCGCTTGTGCAAAACACTATTTGCCATATTGCACATACATACAATACATATGCGTAACATCCTGTTCCTATGTTACGTATGCATAGAGTGTATAAAATGCTGTGTGCATGCATAAAATCCCATTTGGATTGAATGAGTACTCTGTTTTAAAGCATGCACTTTCCTCCCAGTAGTCTTTTCAAATGAAGGGTTTAGGACAACATTTCTCAAACCTGGCAACTTTTAAGGTATGTGGACTTCAACTCCCAGAATTCCCCAGCCCAATATGATGGCTGGGGAATTCTGGGGATTGAAGTCTACTTATCTTAAAGTTGCCAAGTTTGAGAAGCACTGGTTTAGGATAACACATAATCACCCTTATTTTTATGGTGCTCTTCATACTTCTGTGTCCCATCAACTTTATTCTGGGGAATGCCACTATGTTTTCTCTTGCTCCTTTTGAAGGTACATATACACATGGTTCAGGGCTTACATTGTGAAGCTCCACGTGCCATCTTGCTGATTTTGACCATCCCTTGTAGGTGCTACTGGAATACCCTCTAGGATTGGGAAAATGTTCAGACAGATGCTCTGCAAAACCGCTTAGCACAGGGGTGTCAAACTCACGTTGTCAAGGCGGCGTCACGTGATGTATCGGGACTTTTTTTTCCCTTCGCTAAACCGGGCATGGGCATGGCCAGCATGTGACACATCTGGCCCGCAGGCCACGAGTTTGATAGCCCTGCCTTAGCATGAGCAAAACACATCTTTTTGCAGTTGTCCTTTTTTTTTGCAAAGCTTGCATAGCTACTTTGAAAGATGTCCCTCTGCCCAGCTGTCTCCCTTTGCCGATAATCCAAGAGTAACTAGTTTTGTGCATCCCGTACTAAAGGACAGTTTGGAAGCAGCTGTATCAGCATCGTAAAGGAAACTCTGCTCTAATATTTGAAAGAGAAATGTTTTGTGTTAATGAACTTTACAAAATACCTATTTTAAATATTTTACACAGTCCTAGTTGCTATTTGCATAGGATATCCTTTTTAAAAAAGGGGAGTTGGGGAATGTATCAAGTAGCTTGCATACAGCAATACATATCCAGGTGAACAATATCAGACCTATCCCTGGCAGGTGTGTTCACTATAGAGAATCACTTTCCAGAGAATCAAAATAAGCCCCTGTATAAACTGAGAGATGTGGGTTTCAGTGTTTTGTGCAACTGGATATCACACAGAGTAAGCACAGTTGGCTGTTGCAATTTTCCCAGCAGCCTATCATATGATTCAAAGAGAAAACCTTCCTGAATATCAGTTCAAAATCTCTTTTGTGCAGAACAATCCACACCTAGCAGCTGGCTTAACTATATTTGCATCCCGATCAAAGCTGGAACTTTGATGGGGTGGAACGAATTGTCATCGTATCTGCATAGCAGGAAGAAAACGATCATCTTAAAGAGCCCAGGTGGAAGCCTATTAAAAAAAAATCTGATGAGTTAATACAGAGAAACAGGGTCAATGCCAGCTTGTTGGAAGCGATTGAACTGCAGCCATTTTAAGAAGTGGAACTGCAACCTTGCCAAGGATATCAAGCGCCAATCCCACTGTTAATGTTTTGGGTCCATATGTCGGAGGCGGGGGAAAAGGATTCTTCCCCCCTCCCTTTTTTTTTACCTTGAGTTTTAAGGAGTTCAGCTTTTCCTCCCTGAGATGTTCTCTTAACATCTCTCGATGAAGCCGTTCTTGCTCCATGGCAAACTCCCCAAGGGTGTATTGGCGTACACTGTTGTGACGAGTGGACATGCCCAAAGTGCTGCCTCCTTGGCTGGGAACGCTCGTGAAGCCTTGCCTCCTGGTGAAGTAGTATACCGTAACACAATTAAAATGAACATTTTTTGTCCTCTTCCTTTTCTCACTCTTCAGAATCGAGGATGCTGAAACGGAAACAAAGGACAAGTTTTAATCAAGCCCTGCATATCCATCTCTTCAACCCTTAACGCTGCCATCCATTAGCTAGGCTAAAATGGACAGGGCGGGAAGCGTGCAACGGAGAGATTGATTCTGCAACACAAACTCTTGCCCCTTTTGTACCATGTTTCCCCGAAAATAAGACCCTGTCTTATATTTTTTTGAACCCCGAAATAAGCGCTTGGCCTTATTTTCAGGGAGGTCTTATTATTTTGGGTCACGTGGAGGAAACCAGAGGAAATGGTGGGGACCAGCTGCATATGTATTTAAATATTTTTGGGGAAGGCTTATTTTCGGGGGGGGGTTATTTTAGCGCATGCACTCAAAAGCCCGATTGGGCTTATTATCAGGGGATGTCTTATTTTCAGGGGAAAGGGATACTCGTGACACAAAGATGCTTGTTAAGCACCTAAGAAGTGGAACTTGTGTTGTAAGTAACATCACGACACAGAAACGGTGGCTTGCTCCAGATGCCTCTGGAAGCATGTCTAAACGGTACAGGAAAAATGCCAGACAAAATGAAGCTCTCTGCTTGGTTACCTTCTTTAACCACTTGTCCAGAACTGCAACTATCTTACTATGCCTCCTAAAGGCAGCATACAGCTTAATTCGGCATGTCAGGTTCATTTTTATGAGTCAAAGTATGTCAGCCTTCCTAGGTGGATCAGACAGAAAACATAACCAGATGGTCTATTTTCTACCTTATTGTAAAGCTACATAAACAGAATCTGACAAGCTTTCTGAGCCTCTTGTCCTGCCTGCAATCCAGCTGGGGGATACGCTCTGTGCAGGGGTGGGCCTCAAAAATTTTAGCAAGAGGGTCTCTGTATGGTTGCTGGGTGGGCGTGGCCATGATGGGAGTGGCCTAGTCAGCCTCCTGCATCATGGCGGGAGGGGGGAGTAGGTTTTGCCCTCCCCGGGCTCCAGAGGCTTTCCTTGAGCCTCCAGGAGGGCGAAAATAGCCTCCCCATGCTCCGGAGGCCCTCTGGAGGCCAGAAACACCCCATTTCCAGTTTTCCTGAACTTCTGAAAGGCCCATTTTTCACCCTCCTCAAGCCTCCGTGCACGCCCTTGGCTTACCTGCATCCAAAACGGGCCACATGGGGACTCCTGGGAGGGGCAGAGTAGGGGGGGCATGACCAGACAGGAGTGGGATTTGGGAGTTTTCCGAACTGCACAGAATCTTAGCTAGGAGTTCTCCTGAACCCCTGAGAATCCCCAGCAGCCCACCCCTAGCTCTGTGTTATCTGATTGTTCCTTAAAAGTTTCCATGGCCCGTTCTCCAATATTTTTCCCATCTACCATTACTGATAGTATCAAGTCAAGTTAGCTAGTTAGGTTAGCTGATTAAAACAGTGGTGAAGTAATTGCTCTATTCTAACATCAGACTTAACTGAGTGAATCAAGAGAAACGGAGACATGTTGGGGGGACGAGGTGTAATTTTCCTCAGGGTCCACAGTTTCTTTTCTTCCCCCCTCCCCTCAGAAAAGTGGCAGACAGTTTTACAGGCCAGCCAAGGAGGAGAAGGAGTAATTTCCAAGCTCTCTGCCAGCTTCCCACAAGCCTTGTCAACGGGGAAGCTTGCAGGAAGTTGGAACTCATCCCTACTCTCATTGATTCCTTTGTCTGCCTGCAGTCATTCTGCTTCTCCGTTTAGGTAAGCAAGCAGGGCCGGATTTAGATGAAAAGAGGCCCTAGGCTATTCCACTTATGAGGCCCTTTCACCTATAGTGAAAGTGTAATTTTAATTTTGCTAACAATTTGAATGTAGGCCCCTCTTGATCTTGAGGCCCTAGGCTGAAGCCTAGTTAGCCTATAGGAAAATCCGGCCCTGTAAGCAAGTATCTGTGAAAGAATGGCCCAATGAGTCACAGTTGCCTAGTGTCTTAATAAAATTTTCACATGCTCAATGTTTCATATAAAGTTACTATGTTAGAGGGATGATGGCTGCATTACTATTACTATTAGTCTTATCATCGTTCCTATCACCCATCTCCTCTCACTTATGACTGCTTATTTGTTGCTTATATCCTTACGATTTATATTGATATTGTTTCCTAGTATGATTTTATTGCTTATTTGTACCCTATGACTATCATTAAGTGTTGTACCTTATGATTCTTGAGGAATGTATCTTGTCTTTTTATGTACACTGAGAGCATATGCACCAAAGACAAATTCCTTGTGTGTCTAATCACACTTGGCCAATAAAGAATTCTATTCTGTTCTGTTCTGTTCTGTTCTGTTCTGTTCTGTTCTGTTCTGTTCTGTTCTATTCTTGTCTGTCTTCAAATCCAGCTCTTTTAGGCTTATTCTTGAAATATGGAAGTTTCTGATTTGGCAACATTTTCAAGGTAGGGCTGCATAAATCATCCTCATCATTAGAAATCTCAGAATTTCTTTAATCTTGTAAGATTTTTTAACATTTTTTATTTATTTATATGCTACCCTTCTCCGGAGACTCAGGGCGGCTTACAAGGCGTTAAGCAATTTTGCCAATTTAATCTCTGGATCTTTTTAGGTTTTACATGAGAATGAGTAAACCATTTATTTATTTTTTTTAGATCTTCTATTGCCTCAGATTTTGGCATTCTCATACAAGTTCTCATTAGGCTGCAAAGAGAAGTTATTCAGTGCAATTATTATATCAGAAATAAATGAATTAATTAGGGCTACAATATTTCCAGATTTCTCTTACAAATGAGTATTCCTTCCTTTCCTTACAAAATTAACAAGCAGTTAATTAAGTAATGTGCATACATTTTAAAACAATGCCCCCTACTTTTAAAGAATCTCCATTTAAACTTACTTTATATCACTGCCTAGCCATGCCTCTTATAAATCCACATAGAGACATGAGCAGCATTTAGCCTATAATGAAAAATATGAAGTGCAGTTGCAAAAGCTGCTTGACTCTCCTGCCTGATACACCCGGGGTGGCAAAACAACACTGGGGGTGTGAGATGATAAATCGTATGTATGTAATTCAGGTATGACAGTTGTACAGGTATGATGAGAAAAATGTAATAGTGAAGAGGGAGGAACTAAAAGGATCATAAAACACGCTAACAGCCTTTGTAATGTGAAGCTATATATTTTAACAACCATAGCCAGAAGCACGAAGCTAGTTAAAACAGCTTCAGGAAATTAAGTCCTTTGGCTTTGCGGTCTGTTCTTCCATCAATCAGGAATGCTACAGGACTTTTAAACTTAGGTTTCAGATGTATATTAGATCTTTATTGTCAAGGGAGGAAGAGTTTCATAACCAGAATGAACATCATTTTTTTAAAAAACGAGAGAGAACAATGCATCAACAGTGCTTTTCAAATTGTGCTCTGGTGAAGGTTTCATTCTCCAAAAGCATTCATAACTTCTGCTATCCAGATGACTAATCTATTTCTGAGATCCAGTGCTGTAGCTCTTAAACATCAAGCTAGAAATCAGAAGACTGTGAGTTCCAGTCCTGCCTTAAGCATAAAATACAGCTGGATGATCATTCTTTCTCAAGCTTAGGAAGAAGGCAGTGCCAAACCACTTCTAAAAACTGTGCCAAGGAAACTACAGGGACTATGCCAGGCAACACCAGGGATCAAGATTGAGACAAAATCATGCACACAAATCTGTAACATTTTTTACAAATCAGAAAAAAAAAATCTAGCTTCTCTTCTTCAATCCATTTGACCACAGCTGCATGCTAATCAGGTTAAAATTAAGATATCAAAACTCTTAGTTTAGATTTCAAGGTGAAGTAGTTTCAAGTGATTTGATCAGTAAAATCGATCAACAAAAGATGCTGACAGCATAAGGAAGAGTACTACTTCTCTAGAAAATTAATATCAATAAGGAGAAGTTGTCCTGTTACTTTTAGCCTTTCAATGAAGCTAAAGCTCTGACATTTTCTAAAGAAACCCAAAATACTTTCCCGAGACATCGTCCTAATGAAATATAATCTTTTCCTGGTAAGGGAAAAGTAGTGAAGAAAACGGAGCTCTCGTATTACTTCTTAATCTTATTGAAGCTAAAGCTCTGGTCTTTGTGAACTAAAATACTTTCCTAAGCCATACACTTCTTACACTACAATCTTTTCCTACTCCAGGAAATAGATTTTTGTTTTCAATACATAGATTTCATTTATATCTCCAAATAGCCTATTCCATTAGCTTCATAAATAATTCAGTCCAATGTCACAGACGTTCTATATTATTTTACAACTATTGTTGCAATGCTTCTGCTCTGAATTGCAACCTTGAACACGGTGTTGCATTTTCACCCCAACTCAGCAAGGTCAGTCATGGGGTAAAAGGTGGACTTCTGGGTATATACAATGTCAATCTGCATTGTTTTGAAACATGAGAATATGAAAAAAAAAATTTTTTTGCAAGCCCTGCCTATTCTCTTATAATATAAAAGCTTTGTATGTACTAAAACAGCGACCCCCAACCTTTGGGGCACTAGGGACCAGTTCTATGGCGAGATTTTTCCCTGGGCCAGAGGGGGCGAGGTTTTTTGTGCTGCCTGCATCCCGCGGATGGGGCTTCACTTGTTTGTGCGGCCCAGTTTCTGGCATCTATGGACCGGAGGTTGGGGACCCCTGTACTAAAACACGTTCAGCTTGAAATTCTTGCAAATTACAAAACTTGGTGGAAGGGGCGAGATTCACACATTCATGTAGTGACATATAGCATACGATCACAATAATGTCCCCAATCTTAGGTGGCTAGATACAAAAGTGAATGGAATTCCTGGAGCATTCATATTTGTGCCTCAGCAGGAAATGTAACAGTGGTTTAAAGCACCCTGTAATTAACACAGCTGCCTGCAATTTCTGCAGGTTCGAATCTTACCAGGCTCAAGGTTGACTCAGCCTTCCATCCTTTCTAAGGTAGGTTAAATGAGGACCCAGTTTGTGGGGGCAATAAGCTGACTTTGTATAAATATATAAAAGTATGAAGGCTATTGCTTAAC